GTATTATTCTTTTATATGGAGGATAGGACCCAGCCTCTATTTATACAAGACTCTATACTAAGAAAAAATAAATCTGCCAGCTATACAGAAACACTAATAACTATACAAATCTGAATTAATTCCTAGAGATCTTACCTACCACAAACTATATATGGAAAATAATTCAAATACAAATACAAATACAAGCAGCTAATACATGGAAATACAGCTGTAATGCCTAACTAATGAAACGAATCTGCTGTAATCCCAATAGGTGCTAACCTTTGCAATTGCTCTTGAAGATCCTTGCATCTGACCAAAGCATCCTGATTGGTCCTCCTTTCCTCCTGAAGTTCATTATTCAAGTTTTCTGCTTTTGCACGCAGAAGATTTACTTCGGTTTGTAACTCCTCTGCACGTGTTTCAAGAGATATGTATGATTCTGCCATACATTTCAGCTGCGTCTCAGCCAAGCTGTTCAACTTTTGAGCAGTTGCCAGTTGTGATTTAACTTCTGCTAGAAGCTGCTCTGTTTCCTGTAACTGGGACTTTGTGCCTTCCAAATTTTCTGTACATCTAACTAAATCAGTAACCATGTTTTCATTCTCTAGTTTCAATTGTTCAAATTCTTCCAATGAGCATTTCCATGATGTGGCATTGGATTCAAAGGTTGGGACGAAATTTCCTTCATGGGGAATGTCACGATCAGAAGCAGAATCTGAAAATTGGGAACAGCCATTTAGATATTTTTCTCCTGATGAGTCTTGAACCATCTTATTCTCGGGTATAGCAACCTTGTCAATGCAATCAGAACTAATGGTTTCTATTTCATTATTCTGACAGCCCAGTACACTCAAGTGGAGTTCACTGTACTTAGTCAGTGCATGAGAAAGCTCAAGAACAAAATCAACTAGACTTATTTTAGTGTTTATAACCTTATCATAGGTGGCAGAGAATTCCTCAAATTTTTTAGTTAGTCTATCTCCACTGGGACACCTGCCCTGGATAACCAAAGCTTCTTTCCCCACAAATAATACAAAGTCATGAATCTGAGAAATGGCGTCCAGCAATTCTTGACTTAAAGTATGCTCAGTTTCTGCACCTGGCTTCTATCTTGGGACAAAGAGATTTCCTTTGCTGCAGTTACCTCAGCCACCTCAGGACAAGCCTGGCGATCACATGTGGCATCAGAATATTCTTTGTAAAGACAACTTGGAGGCTGTTGATGCAGACTATCATGCGTTTCCTGCACAACACGTCTGATATCAACCAAAATCTTCTCTACATCAGCATCCTTGGACAAAGACTGAAACACCATAGAAATTCTTGATTGGAGCTTCATCAAGGGGAATAGATCATTATTAGATTGTGGATCCAGTGCTGATAATTCCACATTTGGAGATGTCTGATTTGCCAATGGATCCAACCCAGGCTGCTCTTTGGCCTGGAAATCTGTGCTAGTAACAGCCTTCATCAAAGTATCATGGTTCATAATTTGAGATCTTATATTATTTGAAATAACTGAACTGGAAATGACTCCATTTGAATTGTTTGATAAAAATGCCAATTTCTCCATCTCCAGAAAGTCATCCATGAGCTCCTGGTGATCTGCATTTTCAGCCTTGTTGGACTGCTTAACATTCTCATCCTTCTCGCAATGGGAGATCTCAAAGATCAACGCTGACGTCAGAGACCCAAAACCACTTTCTTTATCATCATTTCCATCTTCAGACATGGAGGTCAAGCTTGGTGGCTTGCTTGCATTTTGACTAAAGGAACCTTCAGTGTAGATCTGAACATCAGACTTCGGGGAACTTCTCAGTTGATTATGAACATCGAGTTGTGCTTCAAAAGTTTGAAGCTTTTTAACTGTCTTAGCACAAATATTCCTGGAAGCTTGCAATTCGCTGTTACGCTTTGCCAAGGCTTCTTTCAGCATCTTTGTTTCTTCTTCCATTGCCAACAGACGTTCTGTGAGAAACTCATTCTCTTTTTGGCATTTTTGTACACTGTTAAGGCAATATTCAGGCAAAGGCGACAAGTGTGGACTTGGAGGCTTTACAGAAGACCTCCTCAGTCTACTATCTCCATAATCTTGGCCCAAGTTCTCTACTTCTATCTTCATTTGGGCCAGAGCTGCAGGACCAGGCAACTTCTTCCTCAAAAGACCACGCAACCTTTGGCATTCTGCTTCCAACTTAGCTATTTTCTTTACTCCTTCCAGATGCTGTTTGTTGGCTACTTCTGCAGATTTTACACTCATGTTCTTCTCCTCATTACGGATTTCTAGCTCTTTAGAAACGATATGGAATTCATAATTGAGTGAATTTATTTCTCTTTCACATGATTCAATATTGCTCTTCAATAGTTCAATTTCTGCCTCTGCTTGTGACTTTTCTTCACTCATCTTGATCAGCATGTCAGAACGCTCTTGCAATGATTTTGAAAGTGCAGCATTTTCTGCTGCAGACCTACGGAATTCTTGATCCAAGTTTGTTATCTTTCCTTCAACCTCAAGCTTAACTTCGTCCCACTGTTTTGTTTTTCTAAGAACAACTTCATGCAATTTATGTTCATGTTCTTCCTTTAAATTTCGTATCTGCCACATGCACTCTTTGAGAGCACCATCCAAATGTGATGCTCGATCTTCAGCAGTAAGCTTTAAAAGTGTGACTGATTCTAGATTATATTTCAATGCCAAAGCTTCTGCCTCAGCCTTTTCCCAACCTGCAGCGAAGAGAGGCCTTAAGTTTCATTGTTGTCATGCCATTTCATATCAAAGAACCCTAATTACTCAACAAATGTACTAAAACAACATTGAACTGAATGAAGTTTCATACAAGAATGAAGTAAAGATATATAATTCAAAGAAGATGGACATGAACTTTTAACCAAAAGTAGAACTGCATAATTGCACAAGTTCCTTTTTCCTTTATATATTAGAATTCTATCAACATCACACCTGAGACAGCTTCTTCAGTAACTTTAATATGCTGTTTCACCAGGTTTTCCTTGGTAGTCATTTCTGATTGAGCAGACAACAACTTTTCATTCAACTCTTCAACTTGATCCTCATATGTCTTCACTTGATCCTCCAACCCAGTCAAATGTGAATATGACTCTACTGATATTTGGACATAATTAGGTTTTTGTAGAAATCCTGTTTATCCAGAGACAAAAAATAAAAATAAACAAACCATTAGGCAAAAAGAAAAACCATCATATCAACTATACAAAAATTCTTTAAAAATATATATATTGTAAAACAATAAGTTCAACCAAACTAAAAATAAAATAAATTAAAGTAAATAGTTACATAACGAAGTCCATTAATAGACCTTATCACCCTGAGAACCAGCTGAAGCCAAAGAAGCACCAGCAGAGTCCAACACTGCAACTGCTTTCTCCGCTGCTGCCTTGTCAGATGATTTCTTCTTCCATGGCCAACTTCGCCTGTCCATCTCGACTCTATAGTTTGCAAGTAAAATGTTGGTAACGGTATAAGTAAACAGTACCATGAAGAAGTTGATATAACTAGCGGAAGAACTTAGAACTCAAGAAGATTTTATCTTTGAGACTTCTACATTCACTTTTTTTCCTTTTTTTTTTTTTTTTCTTTTTTTTATCTTCTCCCTCTCTCTCTCTCTCTCTGAGGTTTTTGTTATATGTTCTGTTGGCCTTCATAGCAAAATATTCAACTAAATTTACATAACTATGAATGCGTAAATTCTACCTTAAAAACAATTATTTTTTTTCTGAGTAATTTTTTTTACCGTAGTAAAGTTCATTATAGAAATCCAAAGAAGAATTCAAAACCTTCCTTTTCCAGTTTCAATAAACCACAAAAAAAATATACTCATAATATATTCTAACCATCTATGAGAGAGGAAGATGGAAGGATGCACCTGTCCTTATTTACCAGCTAAGAGACACTAGACATTGGAGTCAATACGGACTCTAGTATTTCCCACCAAGTCAGGCTATAAGAAATGAAGCAATGAAAAGAGCAGAATGATAATTAAGCTAGATGTAAACAACATAAATATTATACAAACATTTTTTTTTTCTAAATATAAATATTATACAAACATACAAACAAATATTACAGAAAACAAGCACATATAAAATCATATGAAAAAATATAAATTTTTATTGGGAAGACTGATGAGATGCTGATGAAATGAGAGAGAGAGAGAGAGAGAGAGAGAGAGAGGAGACTGGAAGCACACATAATTATGCTAGAATGTAAACACACACAAATATTATATTAAGAGAAACATAAAAACAAATATTTTAGAAAACGAACACATAATTCCCATGAAAAAGTACAACTTTTATTGAGAAGACTGAAGGCATGAGAGAGAGAGAGAGAGAGAGAGAGATCCAGGTATTGGAGTACTTTGAATTTGTATTTTGCAGGTGGGATAGAGCTCATCAAGTCTGTTTTGTTTTAAGATACCATGGGCTGTAGAGTTATGTTGGAGAGGAAAATCAAGCAGTTCTTATGGAGTGGCAAGAGTGATGTAAGGAAGATGGCACAGCTGAGTTGGAAACAGGTCACATTGCCTTGCTCTGAGGGAGGATTTAGTCTGAGGAAGATTGAAGATCTGGATAAGGCTGCTAAATTGACTACCTGTTGGGATTTTACTCAGCAGAAGGATAAATTATGGGTGCACTGGTTCAGATGCAAGTACCTTAGAGCTTCCAATTTTTGGACTGTTGTCCCTAAGCAAACAGACTCTGCTGTTTGCAAACAAATTCTTGAGGCCAGAGATCTCATGCTGCAGAATTGTACATATAGGATTGGTAAAGGTGATAAATTTAATTTACTACATGATCCATGGTGTGATGGTGGGTCCCTTGTGCAGAGATTTGGCGCCAACCTGTTCAGACCATATGGTCATAATGCTCTTGTCCAAACCTTCATTGAGGAGGGACAATGGCATAGTCCTGCTTTTTTCTCTGATGAGGTCAGATTGTGCATTTCTTCCATTGCAATTGGGATGGATTCTGATTAGATAATGTGGAATCATGGTACTCTCTCTCAGAAATCAGCATGGAATGCATGTAGAAAGAAAAGGAATAGAATGGAATGGGTGAAACTGGTATGGAAGTATTGCAGGCTAAGGGTTTCAGTGACTATGGCTCTGGTCTTACAGGAGAGAAATTTTTCATATGCTCATCTCAAAAGGAGAGGTATCTCACTAGCTTCAGTTTGTCACAATTGCTTTGCTGCTGAGGATGACAATGATCACCTTTTTTGTAGTTGTTCATTTGCAAGAGATGTGTGGGGAGGTCTGTTTGATATGCTGCAGTTAGAGTATCCAGCTTTTACTGCCCTCTCCCAATTGCAGCAGTGGTTTCTACATAATGCTAGCACCAATAATATGAGGTCCAAGGTACTTAGATTAGTTTTTTGTACTGCTGTGTGGAAGATTTGGGGTCATAGAAATAAGGCTTTGCACCGTAATGTTTTCTCACCTTCTGTGACTGAAATCATGTGGGATGTACTCCATGCATTATCCATTTCTGTGGAAGAGCTTGCATTGTTGTTTTGATGCATTTTGATTTGATAGATAGGCTTTTTTGCTTGTATTGGAAATGGGCTTTTTCCATTCCCTTCTTTTATATGGGAGAAGGTATGCCTTCTCTTGCTCCTTGTACATTATTATTTGATTTATATATTATATTACAAAACCCATTCAGAAAAAAGGAAAAAGGAAAAAAGAGATCCAGGTTTGAAGGAGTGTGAATTCCATATTCATATGGTCTTTAAATATTTACGTGCTAGATATTGTGTCTGGAATTCAATTGTAATTAGTTTTCTATTTTGAATTGTATTTTATTTAGGAAAGTTCTTGTTGGGGTAATCCTGGACTCTAAGAAATTGTAATCATTGTCCCACGAGGAATTCAGTTTAGGAATCTATAAACAGATAACTAGGTTATGAGTTAAGAATTATGAGAGTAAAGGATATGTAACCTCATGAGGGAGTAGCTGGGTGTGAGGTTCTTGGCTCCTTTACCTCACACTGGCTAGAGAGTTGTGGTTTCTGGGTTGGTACAGTAGATGGAACACTGATGGCAAGAAGGAAGTTCATGAAATGGATCATGTGAAAGACTCAGGTTATCAGCCACTATAATTAGAGTGGAAATTGTTTTACAGAGTCTGGTGTTGGGTGTTTTCTAGATTTTTAATTCATCTACATATTTATAGTGAAATCTCTTCTCATCCATGGATGTAAAAGGGGTTATGCCAAACTAAATTAAATCTTGTGTTTGAGTGGTTGATTTATTATTTGCAATGGGATCTGCACATCCGTGTGTGTTTTCACTGTCACAACAAGTAGTTCAAGCCAAAGGTTCGTCTTGGAGAGTTTGAGTGTTATTTTGAAGGAGATCCAAAAAAATACAACAAAGTCTCAACAAGTGATTTAATAGGTTTCATATGCAAGTGGAGTCAATCAATTGGCTTATTTTGTCACAATGGTAAGAAAATCATGATGGGTTACATGGCAAGAAGCTTAATTGATTGAGGTGAAGGTTCGACCAAAATTCAAGGTGGAGCAAAATTATTGCCTTGGAAAGTGATGATTGACTTTATGGAATTCGAGCCAATGTGGACATTGTTAAATATTGTGTCTCAAGTTCCTATTGTAATTAGGTTTCTATTTTAGAGTTGTATTTTATTTAAGAAAAAATCTTGTTGGAGGTATACATGGGCTCTAAGGAATTATAATACTTGTCCAGCAAGGAATTTATTTAGGACTCTATAATTAGATAACTAGATTATCGGTTGAGACTTGTGAGAGTGAAAGAGAATTGACCTCATGAGGGAATAGTTGGGTGTGTAAACACCTCCTCTACCTCACACGGCCTGTAGAGATGGAACACCGACAACAAGAAGGAAGTCTCATGGAGTGGTACATGGGCTAAGGAATTAGCCACCATACCATGGAACTGAGAGTTTGTATACATAGTCTGATGTCGGGTATTCTCTGTTGTCCAAAAATACGGTTTGACTTTACCATATACCATACAATTATTTATTTAAATATTATCTGAAAATATAATGTGTATATATATATATATATATATATAATCTATATATATATATAATTTGTTATAATATATAGTTTAATATAATAAAATAAAACCAATAAAATAAAAGAATCTGATTAAAAGTCGAGGCTAAAATTTGATTCTATGTCCTTAAGACAGATTTGCCCCGCTATGGTGCTAACGGACTCAGTGGCGTCTATCTCCCAGGATACAACGACTTGTCTTCCTTCGGTAGTAGCACTGCAAACCAAAGGAATAGGCGAACCGGCTCGGTGTAGTACTCTCTGACTCGAACTCGGACTCGAAGTGACTTACCAAGGCTCAAACCCAAATACTAAGGCTTAAACCCACAGAGTAAAAAGAGAAGGAGGAAGAAGAAAATTCAGAAGAAGAGAAGAATTCTCTGAATTTGGTGTGATTTGCAAATGATCCAAAGGGGGGTATTTATAGGTAGCAAGGTGCCTTTTCGGGTGGGTGCAACCATGGTTTATGATGGTTCGGAAAAAGGTGTAACCTTTTGGAAAAAACTAAAAAGTGGTTTTTTAATTTAAATTCAAAAAACCAACCACCCAAAAAACCCACCCATTTGTGAAACCCATTTAAATAAGCCCAACCCAAAAATAGGCCTAATCCAAAATTCCATTTAATAAAAAGAATAATCCGGACTTTACAATTAGGCCCAGGCCCAAGCCCAAGCCCAAATCCAAGCCTAAGCTTGACTTATTTAAACTTCAATTGGTTTCAACATTTTTCTCCAATTTGGCTTATCAAACACCTCACTTTGGATCTAATTTCTCATTCACCCGGAAACGGATTTGAGAAAGTAAATATACCACGTTCATCTCCTTGCGGAGAGGAACGCGCTCGTCTATAGATCCGCAAAAAATTCTTAACGGAATCTATTCCAATTCTCATCCGAAGTTTATGTTTTTAATGCCCCCGTTTCCAACAATTCCCCACATGAATGAAAATTTGCGCAAATTACAAATAAAGAAGATACAGACACTAGAGAGAGTACTATTGGAAAGTAACTGCATCGGGATAGGTAGCTTTTGGCCTTGAACCTCCCTAATGTATTACTATCGGATTTACTGGCTAACCAGTAAACATGATGTCTTGAACTGTTCAGTCGTTGATGTAAACCAAGACAATAGCGAACACATAGTTCCTTCCCGCACAAAGTCGGTTCTCACGGTTGTGTTCATATGGCCCTGAACAACTCCTGGTATTTCATAAGCGCTCTAGAAAACTTAGCCTTAGAAGTTCTCATAGAAGCGGCCCCACTTCACACTCATATAGGTGATTTCTTATTAAGAGTATCCTACTATACCCCACTTGAATTTTCAAAGTATAAGAGTCATTAAAAGCATAGCTTATCCTACTCATCGCTGTAGATAGCACTGTCTAATCATAGAAATGGGTAGAAGATTAAATCTTCCCAGTGCTTCTGGTGAGCCTTTCAGAATTTCTATTGTCCCTTTGAACCTAGATCTTGGGATCTCCAGTCAACTAGGTTGGGTTTCCATTAAGATGACTCATTAGCTTTCGGCTTTAATCCCATTCCCCTCGATGAACTATACACATTTTCTCAATATAGTGAGATTGAGATAATACTAGACCATCTGATGTTCCAGAAATCTTGATTCCTAGTATGACATCAGCTATGCCTAAATCTTTCATATCGAAATTTTTGGTCAACATCTTTTTAGTAGTTTTGATTATAACATCATTACTACCCATTATTAGCATATCATCCACATATAGGCACACAATGACATATCCATTTTGAGTGTTTTTCACATAAATACATTTATCACACTCATTAATTCTAAAACTATTTGACAACATCACTTTGTCAAATTTTTCATGCCATTGTTTAGGTGCTTGTTTTAATCCATATAAGGATTTTACATGTTTGCACACCTTCTTTTCTTTTCCTGGAACTATAAATCCTTCAGGTTGTTCCATATAGATTTCCTCTTCTAATTCACCATTCAAGAATGCAGTCTTAACATCCATTTGATGTATTTCTAAATTTTGCAATGCTGCAATAGCTAGTAACAATCTAATGGATGTTATTCTTGTGACTGGTGAATATGTATCAAAATAATCCAAGCCTTCCTTTTGCCTGTATCCCTTAGCAACAAGTCAGGCTTTATATTTATCAATTGAACCATTAGGCTTCATCTTCCTCTTAAAAATCCACTTTACCCTAAAGGTTTAGTCCCAGGAGGAAGATCCATGTTGAATTCAATTTCACTATTTATTATGGCTTCTTTCCATAAAGGAGCTTCAGGAGAAGATATAGCTTCCTTATAGCTTTGTGGCTCATTCTCCAATATATATGTCAAAAAATCAGGACCAAATGACTTAGAGGTTCTAGCTCTTTTACTACGTCTAGGTTCTTCCTCATTTTCATCATCTATAGACTCTTGGTCTATATTTTCTTGTATATTGTTATTAGCAATATCATGATTTCTTTTAAGAGGATTTTTACATGGAAATATATCCTCAAAGAAATAAGCATTCCTTGACTCAATAATTGTATTGACATGAATATCAGGAATGTCTGATTTATGCACAAGGAAACGATATGCACTACTATTCTGTGCATAGCCTATGAAAATACCATCAAAAGTTTTTAGTCCTATCTTAACTTTCTTAGAAGTAGGAACCGCAACCTTAACTAGACACCCCTACACTTTTAAGAATTTGTAGGAATGTTTTTGACCTTTCCATAGTTCATAAGGTGTCACATTTGTTTTCTTTTGAGGTATTTTGTTGAGAACATAATTAGTAGAAAGCAAAGCTTCCCCCCACAAATTCTGGGTTAAACCAAAACTTATCAACATAGCATTCATCATTTCTTTTAAGGTACGGTTTTTGCGTTCAGCAACATCGTTCTGTTGCGGTGAATAAGGAGCGGTAGTTTGGTGAATAATACCGTGTTCTGAGCAAATGTAAGCGAATGGTACTTTGTATTCACCACCTCTATCACTTCTAAACGCCTTTATCTTTTTGCCAAGTTGATTCTCAACCTCATTCTTGTAATGTTTAAACATTTCCAAGGTTTCATCTTTACTTCTTAACAAATATACATAACAGTATCTTGTGTAATCATCAATAAAAGTAATGAAATACTTTTTCCAACCTCTAGTTGGCACAGATTTAAAGTCACAGACATCACTGTGAATTAATGCTAGAGGTTCAGTACTTCACTCCATAGAGTGAAATGAGGTTCTAGTCAATTTTGCTTCTACACATGTTTGACATTTTTTATTTAAATCAATACTAAATTAGATATAGACTCCATGTTAATTAATCTACGAATCGTATCATAATTAACATGTCCTAACCTACCATGCCACACATCAGATGACTCAATCCTATAAGCAGAAGAAGCACTAGCTTTATTATGATTATTATTATTAATAGCTTTGGGTACAACAGTCATTACATTGAAATTGAAAAGTCCATTACTTAGATACCCTTTGCCC